CTCTATTAATAAACACAACTATGCTAAAAAGTTTAAAGTAATGCAGTGTATTGTCATGTACATAAAGTTTGTTAATACAGTCTCGGCGTTCTGTACATACGTGTGTTACGTTTCTACATTTTTAATACTCCTCACATGAGCTTCTGCATTAAATTTAATTGTGACAGATTTGTGCTGTTCTTAGTATATGCAAGACACTTGACTTTACTGTTTTATTCTTGTACATAAAAAAGTGCAATATGGAGATGTACACAGTCTTTGCTATGTTAGGTTTTTAAACTGTTTTTGAAAAGTTCATCCTTTTGCCAAAGTGGTGGAGTATGTCATTGGTAAATCATAAATCCTGTGGTGAACAATGGTGTGGTTTAAAGCTTTCACCATGTTATATTTTCTTTTGAGACATTAATTTAGTAATTTTATATTGGGGAAAATAAAGGTTTTTAATTTTATTTAACTGGAATCTCTGCCCTGCTGTAATTAAACATTCTGTACCACATCTGTATTAAAAATATGCTGATTTTCTGGTAGTGAATATTGGGTATTTATTGTTTAACAGCCGTGGGAGGGACAGGATATTGAAATACTCAGGAGTGAAAAAAGGTGGTATATGAACTTTGTTTTAAAATACCTAAGTGGGGGAAAAAGAGGGTAAGTACATGAAACAAGACTGACAAATGTTGGTAATTCTTGAGGCAGAGGTTGGGTATACGGGAAATCTTTATACCGGTTTCTCTGCCTTTGTGTAAGTTTCCGAAATACAGATGTCAAGAGGCAGGTAGGTGTGAGGAACAGACCTCCCGGAGAATTTGGATAAACGCTTTGTCGCACCGTGGTCTGGCTCTGTCGTTCCCCACGTGTACGTAGACACCGTATTACCTCTGGCTTTTCCCCTTCAACTGTATCCAGGCCTCACCTGTGTCATCACCCTTGCTGCTTCAAGATGCATACTCTGGGACAAGGCGGTCCTTTGCCCCGGCCGTGCTTCGCTGGCCACATGTGCTCACACTCCCTGTGCCCTGTGTTATCACAAACACTGAACCCAAGTCAAGTGATGGCTCAGATTGCAGGGGCCAGGCCTGCCTCTCGTGCCCGGTGGCCCAGCAGGTGAGTCAGCGCCCTGTCACTCGGCCCCATGTGGCTCCAGCGGTGGAGGAAGAGGGTTCTTCCCACAAGAAGTGAAATGGCTGGCTTTCCTACTTGAAGGGTTTTAAAGGCTGTCCTTGTCCATAACCAGCTGAGGAAATGTGATGGTGTGTACATCTCGAGCACCCAGATGCCCAGGATCCTTTGATGTCTTTGAAATGTTCTCTCTCTGTGGTAAGGCTATATTTCACAGATGGAGACAGGTCATGAAGAGAAGGTGAAGTGTTATAGGAACTCACCAGAGGCTACAGCCCCTTCATTGGTGGATCAAGATCTAGGGCCTAAGAAATTTTTCTATATTCGTTTGCCCTGAGGGTCTAACATCCCCACCCTGGACTCTGACATCAACAGGAATAGATATAAGATATTATCTCCTTTGTCACTGAGCTGGATTTCCTACTCATAAATGCCTCATATAGAAGCCATAAAACTCAAGTCACCATGTAGTAACATAAATAAAAGTCTAGGCAGAGCTAACTTGCTATCTCATCATTAAACTTGGAGAGTAATCTGTACCAATGTCATTGTCAGATAAGATTCCGCTTGGAAGGTGACCAACCCTCATTTATTATACCAGTGGAGAAAGGAGCCATCTCTAAGTTGAGGACATCTACTATTGACTTCAATGACACACATTCATATCAATTAAAAACCTCATTTAGCCCTGGTCGGTGTTTCCCAGTGGTTAGAGCATCAGCCCCGTGTACCAAAGGGTCATGGATTTGATTCTCTCGGTCAAAGCATATACCTGGGTTGCAGGGTTGATTCCCCAGCTCCTGGTCAGGGCACATTTAGGAGGCAACCAATTGATGTGGCTCTCTCACAACCATGTTTCACTCTCTCTCCCTCCCTTTCTTCCCCCCCCCCCACCCTTCCACTCTAAAAATCAATGAAAAAAATATATACTCAGGTGAGGATTAACAACAACAAGAAAAAAAACTCATTTAGTTTTTGTATTGAAATTTAATTTCAATATAAAGTTATATATTAAAGTAACAATGTACTGGAGAAATTTTTTAACATTAAAGAATATTTATGTTCGGCTGGTGTAGCTCAGTGGTTGAGCATTGACCCATGAAACAGGAGCTGTGGTTCGATCCCCAGTCAGGGCACATGCCTGGGTTGTGGGCCCGATCCCCAGTGTGGGGTGTGTAGAAGGTAGCCAATCAATGAGTCTGTCATCATTGATGTTTCTATCTCTCCTTCTCCCTTCCTCTCTAAAATCAATAAAAATATTTTTTTAAAACAATATTTATGGCTGTTTTTCAGTAATTTCTTTAGTGTTTCCCATAAGCCTTATTCTGTTTTAAATTGAGGTAAGTATACATAACATAAAATTTACCATTTTAATAACTTTTAAGTGCACAGTGCAGTGGCATTAAGTACATTCTCATTGTGTGCAACCATCACCACCATCCATCCACAAAACTTTTCATCATACCAAACAGAAACTTCATATTCATTAAACAATAACTGCCTATTCCCCCTTTGGGAAAATTGTTTTTGAAATAACTTTGAAATTAAAACTCTAGTTAGTAGCCAGCCAAAGAATGTGTATTTATAACCCATAGACACAGACAACAGTGTGGTGATGGTCAGAGGGAAGGTGGGGCATGGGCTGGGTGAAGGTGGGCAAAGGGAGGGTGAATGGGAACATCTGTAACAGTGTCAACAATAGAAATAAAGATACAAATAATAAAACTCCAGTTAGTACCTCATCAGGCATATCTGCTACCTGGGAACTAACTAATTCTAGGTAGTACACATAAACAGAGCCAGCCCCTGGCAGGGAGAAAGCTGCGGAGACTAAGGATGGAACATTGAAAGGTAACTTATGAAATGACCAGGAGGATTTGTTTAACCATGTGACAGTTACTCTGTATAAAAACACCATTCAAAAAAATACTTGATTTCCATCAACAGGGGATCGTTCGCATAAACTATGGTACATCTACCCAGTGGAGGATTGTGTAGCTATAAAAAGGAATTGACATCTCTGTATACTGCTTGGAGTGATCTTCAAGAAACTGTAAGTGAAAAACACAAAACTAAGAAAAGTGTGAATAGCGTGCTCCCCATTATTTAAGAAAGGAGGGATATAGAAATAAACACATTTGGTTTTTTAAAATTTTTAAAATATATTTTTATTGATTTCAGAGAAGAAGGGAGAGGGAGAGATAGAAACATCAGTGATGAGAGAGAATCATTGATCGGCTGCCTCCTGCACACCCTGCATTGGGGATCAAGCCCATAACCTGGGCATGTGCCCTAATCAGGAATCAAACTGCAGCCTCTTGGTTCACAGGTCAACGCTCAATCATTGAGCCATGCTGGCCAGGCTACATTTATTTTGTTAGATGGAAGAGAAAAAAAAAAGTTTTAAGTTCTTACCTATAGGGGGATAGAGAATGAGATATAGGAGACAGGGTTAGAAGATAAACCTGTCCAAATATAATTTGCTTTATATACTTACCTTTAGAATCATGCGAATATTTCCATAATATTTATTTTTAATTCCTAAAAATTGAAGGCAGATGAAATAAATGAACATAAGCCAATAGAAGATTGGTGACAAATACACAAGAATTTTTTCGAATGACTTTATAGGAATTTCTCTGTGCATCCCAGTGGGATGTACCCTAAGGACAAAAGTAGTGGAAATAAACCAACGAGTAATAAAACCATTTTCAGTAATCATTTTGTTTGTGGAAGTAGTGTTTTGTTTTTGTGAGATTGTATTATTATTCTGAGACTGTTATATGTTTATTGCTGGAGAAAGTAAGTGAGTAATTAGGTTGATATCATTGGAAATCAAGTTTTTGTCATGGGAGAAAACAAAGTTGCATCTATAAGACCAAAAAAGCCTTAAGCAGTTTGGCTCAGTGGATAGAGAGTTGGCCTACGGACTGAAGGGTCCCAGGTTCGATTCCGGTCAAGGCCATGTACCTTGATTGTGGGCACATCCCCAGTAGGAGGTGTGTAGGAGGCAGCTGATCGATGTTTCTCTCTCATCGATGTTTCTAACTCTCTATCCCTCTCCCTTCCTCTCTGTAAAAAAAATCAATAAAATATATATTAAAAAAATAATTTATTATAAGACCAAAAAAGTTAAATTAAAGCCCTTTAGTTTTGAATTTGATGCGGAAATACCAATTTGAACTCATAAGTTTTTCTTAAACATCTACACTATTTCTTAACTTGGTTCACTGAAAAGGCCTAAAAACAATGACCAAGCCAGTAGCTAATGACCACCCCTATATGTCCAAATCCTATTCTCTAAATACCTTCCTACCAAAAGCATCCAGGGCTCCCTGGAGGATGGCTGTGTCGAGATTTAGGACAACAGGTGTCCAAAATGAGTCTGGAGCATCTTTTCTTACCAGACATCCAGGGTCTGGCAATTCCACTTTGGGGCTATGCCCCAAAGAAATGGATGTAGGGACTTAAACAGATATTTGTACACCCATGTTCATAGCAGCAATATTCACAGTAGCCAAAGGATGGAAATAACCCAAGTGTCCATGGGTGGATGAATGAAAAGCAAAATGTGTGTACATACAACAGAATATTATTCGGCCTTAAAAAAGAAGGAGATTCTGGCACATGCTACAACATGAATGAACTTTAAGGACATTGTGCTCAGTGTGGTGAGCCAGACACAAAAGGATAAAGACTGCATGATCCTACTCATAGGAAGCACTTCAAGCAGTTACAGTCGTAGCAGCAGGGTGGTTGCAGGGTGTGAGGAGAGGGAAATGGGGAGTTAGTGTTTAGCTGGTGCACAGTTTCAGTTGGATAAGATGAAAATGTAGGGATGGATGGTGGTGCTGGTTACACAATAATGTATATACACTTAATGACATAGAACTGTACACTTTAATATGGTAACTCATCCTCTGTTGGATATATTGGTTTGCAAAAATTTTCTCTCAGTAGCTTGTTCATCCTCTTAACAGGGTCTTCTCAGAGAAAAAATGTTTACTTTTAGGACTGGCTCTCCTTTCTCAGCATAATTCTCTGGACAATCCACTCAGAACACGGGCAAGCGACTTGAACATTTCACTGGAAAGGAAAGACAGGTGGCACATAATGAAAAGGTACTCAACATCATTCGCCATGAAGGCAAGGCAGATCAGAACCACATGAGAGCTGAAACCGGTTTGGCTCAGAGGATAGAGCGTTGGCCTGAGGACTGAAAGGTCCCAGGTTCGATTCCGGTCAAGGGCATGTACCTGGGTTGCGGGCACATCCCCAGTAGCGGGTGTGCAGGAGGCAGCTGATCGATGATGTTTCTCTCTCATCGATGTTTCTCACTCTCTATCCCTCTCCCTTCCTCTCTGTAAAAAATCAATAAAATAAAAAAAATTTTAAAAAAAGAACTACATGAGAGGTCATACACACACACTGGTCAGGATGACTAACATCACACAGAGTGACACCATCAAACGCTGGCGAGAGAAACTGGATCACTCGTCCATTGCTCCTGGGAAAGTAAAGTGGCACAGCCACTCTGCAAAAAAACTTGGACGGTTTCTTAAAAAGCTAAGCATGTAAAAACCATGTGACTCAGAATTTGCACTCTTGGTCATTTGTCCCAGAGAAAGGAAGATTTATATCCACTCAGAAACCTATTCATCAATGTTCATAGCAACTTTATACACAGTAGCCCAAGACTGGAAACAGCCTGGATGCTCTCCAGCAGGCAAACCGATTGGTGGTGCATCCAGGCCCCGCAGTGCTGCTCAGCAGAAAGGTAGGAGGAACAGCCAGTGCTCGCGACGACCTGTGACTGGAGAATGATGCTGCGTGAGAAGAGCCAGTCCTAAAAGGTTATCTACGGTATGATTCCATTCTTGAAATGACAGATTATAGAAATTGAGAGGTTACTGCTGTCAGGGATTAGAGAGGAGACAGGATGGGAGGAAACCAGGGGCTGTAAAAAGGTAGCATGATGTTTACCCGAAGCTGCCTGTCTTGTCCTGCCAGCCAAATGCTCCTACTGCTGGGACGGCCTGTGTCGCCTTTAGGGGGATTGTCTGAGCCAAGACCACAGCTGAGCATCAAGCAGAGTGGGTGTGACCGGGCTCGGCTGAAAGTGTCATAAATACCTGTCCAGTGTTTCAGTGAAGTGTAATGCCACTTTAAGCAAGCTGGTCTCACATGGTGTGAAAATAATGAAGTTTCCTTTTCCTGACTCACTCTCTAGTCTTCTTCCTCGTAACTGTATGCATGTCCCCATGGTGACGAATCTGGAAGGGGGTTCCCCACAGAGTTTGGAGTGCACATTCGTCATTCTCTTGGCACTTGTATAGTTTGAGACCATGTCAGTCCCATCTGACCTCCCAGGTTTCTGGGTAATGCACACCTTGGGACAGAGCCTGAGGAGCCTGGCCTTGAGTCCTGCTGTCAACCATACAGTTCCCTTGGCCAGCCCGCCCATCATTTCCCATTCCCTCTTCACCAACTGATGGACCCAAGGCCATGCCTTCAGTACTCTGAGACTGCTCCTTTTGACCACATGAAATCATCTTCTGCCCTGCTCTCTCTCCCAGATCCATGTGGAGAAGTGGCTCTGAGATGCTTGTTTAGGCTCTAGTCAGGAGCACAGGTGCAGCGTCACTTCTCTACCTAGGCAGTCATGTGCTGCTGCCCTTGGCCCATGCAGTGAGGTAAGACTCACATTGGCAGAAGAGGAAGAGGGTTGCCTGCCATTCCCCCCCCCCCCCCCGCCCCAGACTAGCTGAGCCTTGCTCTTGATCTATGAAGGGGCATGTCACAGACCAGCCTGATGTCCAGCAAGGGTCTGGGGCTTGTCATGCTGCACGGACGTTGAAGAGCTAAAGGTTTGGAACAAAAGTCTGGAGCATGCTCCTTCCTTGTCTGCATGTAACTTGAGCAAATTCATCTTTCACTCTGCACTGCCCTCTATAAGTCAAGGGAAAGCCATGTCATCTCCCACGTCAGATGGGGGTGCTGTGCATATTACAGGGGACCATCAAGGCTGAGAAGGAGCACCCTCCTCTTGTTTGGAAGAAATGAGAACAATATCTACAATAGTTCCTTAAAGTCATTGTCAATTAGAATTTGCTGGAATGTGGACTCACTGCTTGAGATGGAGGTGGTGGCACCTACAGGTATGCTGGAGGTAGTCACCTGGAGTTTGCCTGTTGTATTAGGGTTCTCCAGAGAAACAGGACCAATAGGGTTCATGAGAGAGAGAGAGAGAGAGAGAGAGAGAGAGAGAGAGAGAGAGAGAGAGAGAGAGAGAGAGAGAGAGAGAGAGAGAGAAGAGAGAGAGAGAGAGAGAGAGAGAGAGAGAGAGAGAGAGAGAGAGGGAGGAAGAGAGAGAAGAGAGAGTATAAAGATTTATTTTAAGGAACTGGCTCACAGATTATGGAAGCTGGCAAGTCCCAAGATCTCAGGTGAGTCAGAAAGCAGGAGACCCAGCAGAGTCAATGGTGTAGTTCTGTGTGAAGGTCAGCAGGCTCGAGACATGTTTCAATTTGAGTCCAAAGGCAGGAAAAAAGCCAATGTCCCAGTTCAAAGGCTGTCAGGCAGGAAGAATTCTCTCTTATTCAGGGGAGGTCAGCCTTTTGTGCCACTCAGGCCTTCAAGCGATTGGATGAGGCCCACCCACATTAGGGCGGGCAACCTGCTTTACTCAGTCTACTGCTTCAAATGTTAATCTCATCCAGACACCCTTAGAGAAACATTCCGGGGAATGTTAGACCAAGTATCTGGGCGTCCTATGGCTCAGTGAAACTGGAACGACACACACACAAATCAACCATCACACCTATGGTCTGTGAAGGGAACCATGGTGAAGAAATGAGACTGAGTTGCTAACTAAGCCTTAGACATCGGAGCAGCATTACTCCTGATTCCGGGCCTAAACCCACTATTAGGATTTGAAGTCACTAGGCAGGAGAGAAGTTGGCGGAGAACTTCTTTCTTTGAACATAGACATTGGACTGAGCTCTGAAACTTGGAGAATGTTGGAGGAGGAGGCCCAAAGACTGTTTTGGACAAATTTTGTTTTATGTGTGACTGACCCACCAGCTCAGAGGTAGAACAGGCCTGGCATCTCCTTGCAAAAGCTGGTGATTTGCTTAAGTATCAACCATAGCCTCCTCTCAGCAAGCTCCTCCCAGGTACCAGCACTTTACAGACGTGTCACTCTTAATCCTAACAACAATCCTGTGAAGTAGGTGGTGGTTTCATATGAAGAAACCAAACCTCAGACAGGTGGAGGATATTGCCAAAGGTCACACCACTAGCAAGTGGTGGAGCTGGGGTTCTAATTTGTCTGACTGGCTGGCTGGTCAGCTATTGGCTCAAGAAGAGTGGGTATAAAAAAAAGAAGAAGAAGAAGAGTGGGTATACCCTGGCCAGCCTGGGGCCACCTGGCAATGCAGACCTCTGCAGAAGCTATGGCCCAAACCTCAGAAGGGCAGGTGTTATGGACTGAATGTATCCCCCAGTATTCTCATGTTGAAGTCATAACCCCCAGCACCTCAGAATGTGACCTATTTTACAGAGATAATCAAGTTAAAATGAGGTCATTAGGGTGGGCCTGAATCCAGTATGATGCACTTCCTCATAACGAGAGGAAATTTGGACAGAAGGAAGACAGTGTGAAGACACAAGGAGAAATGGCATCTATGAGCCAAGGAGATGGACCACAGAAGAAACTAACCCTGCTGACATCTTGATCTCGGACTTCCAGCTTCCAGAACTGTGAGAGAATAAATTTCTGTTGCATAAGCCCCAGTCTGTGGTACTAGCGCAGCAAGATACCGGTCCATGGGGGAACACAGAGCAAAGGCTTCCCCAGGGACATGTACCAGAGACTTGGGACCTATAGAGGGCCAGCAGTTTGAATACAAAATGTCACTGAAACAGGACAAAAATGAGGGCAGTAAGTGTTTGGAGGAACTAACCCTTGCTCTGAAACCAAGATTGGGAAATATTAATTGTCACCATTGACTTTGGCAGTCTTGTTTGACTGGTTCCTAATGTGCTTCCTAGGAGTCGATAAACAGCAATGTGGGTATGTCACCTGGTCTAGTTTGCACCTTTTCAGATAGGGAGTTACCAGGAGTGGGCAGCATATAGCCCTTCCTGTCACCATCCCTGACAAGTGTCCCAGGGAGCCATCTTAATGCCCCATTAGTTACCTTGGCACAGTGATGGAGTACTGGATGAGGAGTCTGAAAAGTTGGGTTCTAGTTCAAGTGCAGTAAGTGTAGGTTATATCACCATCTCTGAGCATCAGTCTCATCATCTGTAAATGAGAAAAATCCTGGTCCTCTTGACTTCACAGAGGTTTCCCCTCAAATCAGAGCAATCATTAATATTATACCCATACCCTCTCCAAAAGGATAGTAGGAAAATTATTATAAAGACATACTAAACAAAACCATCCAAGCAAGCATACCATACTGGCAATTAAGGAATAGAGGGAGGAGATATTTACAGGGATACCTCATTTTATTGCACTTTATTGTACTTCACAGATGTTGTATATTTTTACAAATTGAAGGCAAGACCCTCCACCAGCAAAAACTTTATGACTTGCTTTATTGCAATACTTTGCTTTATTGCAGTGGTCTGGAACCAAAGCCGTACTATATCCAAGATATGTCTGTACTACACAACATGGACTAAGCCTAAACTTTTAGCTTTGAGCATCTTGGCGGCCAAAAGAAAAAGTACAACACTTTCAAAAGTAGGAAAATGACTCTGGTTGGGGAGCTCAGTTGGTTAGAGTGTCATCCCGATACCCTAAGATAGCAAGTTCAATCCCTGGTCAGGGCACATACAAGAATCAACCAATGAATGCATAAATAAGTGGAACAACAAATCGATGTTTCTCTCTCTCCCTCTTTCCTTCCTTCCCTCCCTCTCTCCATCCCTCCCTTCCTCTCTCTCTCTAAAAATCAATCAAAGAGAATTTTAACAGTAGGGAAAAGAAAACTATAAAGTTTAAGATACTGCTTTTTCAGTTGTTGTACTCTTTTAAAGTATTTTTAAAAACTCTTTTATACAGTATTTAAAATGATAATTTATCTCAATGTGCAGTCATGAAAAACAGAATCCACCTAGGTTCTAAACTCAAATTTCCTACATTTCTAAACATTTTTAAATGTTCTAAACTTATTTAGCTTAGAAGAGATGAATGAATCTCTAATCTCTTCACAGTCTCATGTGAAGGCAAATCCAACAAACTTTTTTCTCCTCTCTTTATTAAAAATGTAGTTATTCTTTTTTTTTTTCTAAGTATGAAAGCAATACTTGCTCCTAGTAGAAAATGTATAAAATACTGAAAAATATAAATGAGAATCAAAATAGCTGTAGTCCTTCCTGCTCCTTGCAGATCACTGCCATCAACGTTTTTTTGTTTGTTTGTTTTTTACTTTCCCAGAGCCAGGGAGAATCCGATAGAAGTCAAACCTCTAGAACAGCGGTTCTGAACCTGTGGGTCAGGACCCCTTTGGGGGTTGAATGACCCTTTCACAGGGGTCGCCTAAGACCATCGGAAAACACATATATAATTACATATTGTTTTTGTGATTAATCACTATGCTTTAATTATGCTCAATTTGTAACAATGAAATTGGGGGTCACCACAAAATGAGGAACTGTATTAAAGGGTCGTGGCATTAGGAAGGTTGAGAACCACTGCTCTAGAAGGTTTTGGAATCACACAGGCCTGTGCGTTCTAATTCCAGCTTAGCCACTTACTAACCGCATAGCTTTGGGCCGATGACTCATGCTCTTTTACCCTGCCGACATCACAGGGCTGCTGCAGTCCCATGCGAACAGGGCCTGGCACCCAGTAATTTCTTAGGAAAGGTGCCTTTTCATCTGTCCCTGCACTGCCCAGAGGGTGCAGTTTCAGAAACACCCTGGGGACCCATGGAATTCCGCTCTGTCCCGCTATGGCCCACTGAGCTCTGCCCCAGCCTTGCAGGGTTCTGCACCTTTGCACATGAAATAGCATTGGCCTGGGAGGCCCTGCCCCAACACA